CCGAATGGCCTCGTAGCACACGCCGCTCGGCGCCCGTCGCCGCATCCCATACCCGGACCGTCTCGTCGCCGGAGCCCGATACGATGAGTCGGCCGTCCGGCGAGAAGGCGACGGCCCTGACCGAGCACGAATGGCCTCGTAGCACAAGCCGCTCGGCGCCTGTCGCCGCATCCTATACCCGGACCGTGTCGTCGCCGGAGCCCGATACAATGAGCCGGCCGTGTAGCGAGAAGGCGACGGCGTTGACCGAGCCCGAATGGTCTCGTAGCACATGCCGCTCGTCGGCCGTGCAGCGAGAAGGCGACCGCGCTGACCCAGCGCGAATGGCCTCGTAGCACATGCCGCTCGGCGCCCGTCGCCGCATCCCATACCCGGACCGTGTTGTCGTCGGAGCCCGATACGATGAGCCGGCCGTCCGGCGAGAAGGCGACCGCGCTGACCGCACTCGGATGGCTTAGTGTCTGTAGATGCACACTCCAGTCTTCTGAGAGCGCTGGTGCCCGCACGATCCACTTGGGAAGCTGATGTATGTAGAGCTGCCGAATAATGCTCGCTTCGGGGCTGAACACTAGAGCAGAACAGTATACCTGAAGCGGAGCCTCCTCGATGATGGAACTGTGGCTTCGCAGGAATCGCTTTGCATCGTAGACTACTGCTCTTAGAATTGAAGGGTTTTGTCCACGTCTGGGCACGAGTGTAGCCATCATCTTGCTAAAACTGCCCCGGAATCCGGTCGTAGTGCTCCTCTTCCTCCTGTTAGCTGCGGGACAGAGTAAGGGTCCGGCATACTTACAGGTAACCTCGATTCTAGAAGCTGGAGCATAGCAATCCCATCGGCCAGTCGACCAATTAAGGCGAGAGTCTCTAGCCAGAAGAGGAATCGAGTTTCGAAAAATTCCGCAATACCACCGTGTCCTTGAGGGTCGACATCACTCCGCTCGAGATGATAGGCCCAGTACCGACAGGCATACTGGACGGCGAACGGAACCTTCTTGTTCACGTCTGACCTAGGAATATCGCCAACTCGCATTCCCGGCCGCCCGAGGTCACACATATCCTGCCGGAGGTAGCCTGCCATGATCCTCAGACAACAGTCGAACAGGTGCCGGTGCGCCTTCTTGGCGTCAATGCAAAACATCGCATGGGTGCATCTCTGTGCATCTAGCAGAAACTCGCGGAAGGAAGGGTGGAGAAGCCGGATCAGCCTGTCCTCTTCTTCCGGGACATCAAGGAGTGAGTGAAGGCTGCTCAACGGCAACGCGATCGTTTCCTTGGACTGGTCGAGTAGCATAGCAAGGCTAGTAGGCGAAAGTGCATCGAAGAGCACGACAATGGTGCCCACAACACGTCGGAACAGTTCTCGTATCCTCTCCGTCTCCTCGGGGTCGAGCTTGGCGGTTAGAGAGTACTCTAGCACCGTCATATACATCCGGTCCAGCTCCGCCCCCGCTCTAGTAGGCAGGCGCTCGGCGGAGACTATATGCGCAAGCCGCTTGCCAGCGAAAGGCTCTCCATCATGGACAAAGCGACATACCGTCGCAGCATAGATGAACAACCGACAAGACTTCTGGACTAGCGTCTGGATATTTTCATCCGAGAAAAATGCCGCGTCAAGACGGGAGGCCCGCGCTAGTTGCCCAAGTTGGTGCTTGTAATAGACAGCTAGGTCGTGGTTGACGATCGACTGTTTGATATCGTGGAGGATAAAATCTTGGTGTGCATCGGTAGAGATGCCGTCAAAGCTGACATTCATCGGCTGGTCCGGCCTGCTTGTGACGAATATCCTAAGGTCGACTTGCTCGACGGTCACCGCGGCGGCCAAGCATCGTACTAAGAGCGAAACATCGTCTTTATTGTCGCATTCGTCTAGCGCGTCCACCACGATGACGAGCGGCTGTGAGAACGCCTCCCCGCCTAGATGCGCCAGCGGCTCGAGGACGAGGCTCTTCCACTGGTCGTACAGGCCGAGCCCGCGGATGCTAGGACGAGAGGCCACGGCATTGGAAATGCGCTCGTGAAGCTCCGGCGAGCTCTCCGCGAGCTGGACGGCGATCGTCGCGGCGAACCTGCGCGTGGACGCAAGATCGCCCCCGCTCCTCGAGAAGAAGAAGCTCGCGCCGAGCCGCTTCTTGCCGCTGTATTCGCGGGCCACCGTCAGCGCGATCGTCGACTTTCCCGTGCCAGCCCAGCCCTTGAGCCAGTATATCCGTTGCCCGCCGTCTCCGTCAACCCATCTCCTGATCTGTGCGAGGACGTCGCAGCGCGTGTTGGGGAGGCAGGTCGCCACATGCTGCTTGTTCGCCGCGTCGAAGGATGCTTCGGGGAGGCTGTCGAGGCGCTCGAGAAATCTTGGGGCCGTGTCGGTGGCATGCTCTAGAGAAGGTCAGTGGTTGTGATATCTGCTGTTGGCGTGCAGCTGGACGTTGGCTCACGGTGGATGTGGAGGGGTCCGCTGACGTGACCCTGGAAGAGCAGGCCGCCATGGGAAGCTTCCGTGTTGCCGAAGTGCTGCTCCACATGTGGCCCCGCCTGGGCCATTGCGCTTGGATAACGTAACACTTGCAGATGCGATATAAAACAACGTTGCTATTCAGACCTGCGGGCCATGGGACGAAGGTGAAATGGCTGTCGGCATGAATCTCCTGTCGCACAAGCAGCTGAAGAGCATAAGCAGCTGAAGAGATCACGTGTGCGGGGCTGTGTCGGTGCCGTCCGCTGCAGCTTAGCAACCATAAAACCATTCTCATCAACAATGCCAAATCCAACCCAGGCCAGTCCGCCATCCTGCTCCATAGGCCATGGATCCTCTCAGCGTCACTGCTAGCGTTATAACCGTTGCGACTATTGCGTTGCAGAGCGTCAAGGCACTTTACGACGTTATCGATGGACTCGTGGATGCGCCACATTCCGTTTCGCAGAGCAAGAGTCTTCTCTCCCAAACCCAGACAACGTTAGGCACTCTAAGACGAACACTGGAAACCAACTCCGCATCTGATGCGGTCGATTCCGTTCTCGAGGAGATAGAGCTCAGCAAGGCGTTGGAGTCGACCCAGTCCCTTTGCCAAGATTTCGCGACTACCTTGACAAGATTTACCAGCCATTCGACGGATTTGCGTTTCAGCACGCGCGATAGAGTCATTGTGCAGTTCAACGAGTCGAAGATCAAGAGACTGAATAGGGACTTGGCGGACTGTCAGAGGACAATAACGATGGTTTTCTCTTCCGTCACGCTGTACGTCTCCCACCCTTAAAAAGAACGAGCTCTACTGACACTGGACAGGATCGTTTCCAACCAGACCTCCGGGAATATTGATCAGCTTCGGAGTCAATTCGACACACAGGAGCGGGCTCTGGCCGACCTAGGCGTGCA